GTTAAAGTCTCTCTAAATCAGATGAAAATACATATATATTACCACTACTTCTAGCCTTAAAGTTTGAACTACATACTTTTGACAAAGTACAGCTCTATCATTGTGAAGATAAAACAATAACACTCAAAGTCTACTGCCAAAACTCTCCAACTTGATGATCAGACAAAGGCATAGCTGTTAAACAAAGTCCATGTTCAAGGTACAAAACTAAAATAATTCCCTACTTCAGGAATTCCTGCACTTTGGAGACTGCTATATCTCTGCGATCAACACATTAATGGCAGGCCTCTGGAATCCTTCAGCATGCCTATTCATCCATTCGCATATGCCAACCTGTTCTTTTTGGACTGGTACTTGGTCCCATCATGCAGTAATTCTTAACTGAATATTTGTGAAATATACCAGATATTTGCTGAGCATACAGCTGTGAAAAAAGGCAGAGAAGGTACACCTGAAAAACATCAGAAGAGCATATGAAAGAGGCAGGGAAGTAGAACTAGGGATCTGTAAAATAATTCAGCAATTCGGAGATCAAGATACCCTCCAGTGTAAAGCATTACTACTCATTTGTTCTGAATCCCTTGTGATCCCACTGGGGGTTCTTAGCTTCACATATGCAGGCATTTATTGGATGCTTGTCAGAGATGGTATGAGTAATTCCCGCCTATCCTGTACCCTTTGGTGCCTATCCAAGAAACAAGAGAATTGGAAGGAGGGAGGAAGAGTGTGTGAGTCATAAGGGATTTTTTAATTTGTAAATGGCATTTTTAAGGCTGGTATTGAAACACTTCATCCAACCCTTACATCCAAATTTTCACAAGGCTATTACGGGTGTGGGGGGGATCAGAAAATATGCAAAAATAAAGGATTCAGAAGATAGAAAGATACAGAGCAGGAGGTGATAGAAACATTTTAGTTCACTTACGGTACCAAGGTGATGTGATTGTAACAACTTAACTTACAAGAACTTCCCACAGGAGAGCGATACTGCATGCTAAGACTAGTTTGTTGGCACTATTTAAAAGCCAAAGTAATTCAAATTATAAATGTAATTTTTTAGCAGACGCAAAAACAAATCTTTAGAATAAGCAACCATTGTTAAGAAAGCTTTTGAGCCCACAGATAAAGGCAAGACATCCTCTAAAACATTTACCTCCGAGAAGGTAGTGGGCTTTGTACAAGGATAGCAGACAAAGCTTATATTGAAAGAAGACCAGCCTTGATGACCTAATGGACCTACTTGGTCTTAAAACCCATAAATACTTTAGTTGAGAACTACAGTGTGCTGTGATGTGACTGCTTATTACACTTCTAGATTCAAGTCAGTTGACCAAGTACACTCCTGAAGGCTACATATGCTGCACAAAGAATAAAGCATCCTTCTATCACCAAGCAACACAGTGTTCTTGGTGTCATGATTTTTTTTTCCCCGTGAAACATTATACACTAATATCAGTCTGTGCAGAGTTTTCTCAAAACAAGGTCCCAAATCACTTCTGGGACAAACTAACAAAATAGACTGACACAGGCAGCTTCAGGAGGCAGATGAGCTTTTCCGTCAACCATCTGTTGCTTAAACTAAATTGAGCAGTTACACATATTGAAAGACGGTTACTGATCCAGGTTGCCTTTTAAGCTTCAACCGTTTGACAGCAAAGAAAAACAACTCGGCGTTTAAAATTCACAAAATATTTCCAGAACCATTCCAGCTCCCTTAGATGAAAATGAGGCTACTCATCTCCACATCAGGTAAGGCCCAATGTAGATGTGAGTTTTCCCAAAATTTAAATATATACTTGTGCAAGTAAGCAGAGATAGATACCTTCACTGACAATAACAGGTACATAGGAAGGAAATGAATTACCCCCTACAGCTTGTTCATTGTTCCCATCTGTACCCACTTTTCCCTGTTGTTCTATTAAGGACCATATAGAATGTTTGACTACAGTCAATTAAGAACATCAAACTTCATTATAGCAATCCTCCTATAAAATCTCTGATGAGAAGTATAACAATGACCAATCACCTCATACTATCTATGTGTTGTAAAATACAGGACAGCAAAGTACGAAAGTGGGGTTATCTTGCATTCAAAGAAAGGCACATTATAAAGAGGAACAAAAATCTTTGCTGAAAGCATTCTGTGTTACTTTTGTTTATATAAGCAAGCCCTGTGCATCTCAGTACAGTTTAATCATATGATTCACATGAAATTTTTTACCCTTTTTTAGGAATGCATATCATATATATAATGCAGATATAATAATATTTAGTTCACATGTTCTTTTACATATACATCTACACATCAATAGTATCCATTCCTAAATATCTGATCACAACCTATTTATGATTTTTACTGTCTAAAAGGCAAACAAGATGATCTCTCATATATTTTTAATCTAAAATACTGTCATTTTCATAAATTGGGCACATGTCCAACAAGAACATGTAATTGCTGAGGTAAAAACTGCTTCCAGATCCAGTGGGAAATTCAGAAACTCCCTTAACTCATCAAGACTGTATACCTATGTCTTCAAAAGTCCTTTAGAGGACTTTTCATACCATCTGTGATCAAGTGACCACATTTCTCTCATAAGCACTCACATTCTTGAATTACTTTCTTGATATTAGTGGATGTCATTTTTTATGATATCTGTTAACCACAAAAGAGGTGGATCAACTGTGGAAAGCATAGAGGAGTTTAATAAACAAGATCAGAAGTCTGCAAGGAAGTGTGTTTGTTTAGTCTAAAAAAAAGACTGAAGAAAGATAGCAGCCTTCAACTATGTAAAAGGTTGTTGTAATAAGCCTTCTTCATGCCCACAAGGGACAGCACAAGAAACAATGTTCTTAAATTAGAGCAAACGTTACTTAAAGATCAAGGAAGTCATTTTCTGGGATACTGAAAAATTAAGATCTGTATTTTTAAAGCTTACTTACTTCAAAATTTTGTCAAATTTAGGATTATAGCAAGAATTAAATTTACTAATTAGCATGTACTATAGCACAAATAGATAACATTGTGAGGACCACAACATTTGTCCACATGAAGATTAGGGCAAAACCATCTAAGTGCTAGCAGAGTGGAATTAAAAAAAGTGTGGAATTAAAAAAAGTGTGGAATTAAAAAAAGTGTGGAATTAAAAAAAGTGTGGAATTAAAAGTGTGGAATTAAATTTAAAAGTCAGATTAACTTCTTCTTTCATAATGGCCAGAAGCTGAAGATCTGTGCTGTACAACTACTTGATAACTCTTAATTTTTCTTACGAATATCAATTTTCACTTTGTTGCTGACGTAGTTCAGTTCAAGTACAGGGACAGAATTTTAAAATTCTAAAAATAACTCTGATTTAGTCAGGGAAAGTTAAAATGAAAAATAATGAAAAACATTCCATAAGGGAGATGTTCTACCCATCTCACAAGCGTAAGTAAATCATTCTGATGTTAAGACAAACGCATATCACACCTCCTTATTTCAGTGTTGCTTATTATTGACCTCTGGCTGCAACCACTCTCTGTTCTAAAATCATTTTAATGAGTTTGAAAAAGCAGAAATATAAGTAACTGTTAGCTAATCACTGACATGGAAATAATTTCATTAATGTCTACACCACAGCCAATCTTTCACTTAATTTTTTTTTTAAGGTGAGGAAAAGTCTGAGTTGAATGCTGGAAGTCTTAAAAGTCACTTCAGTTGTAGTCATGCAACAAAAGAGGCAATAATCACACCTGCTAAGAGGTAAAAACTGTTCCTCACTATGTTCACTTCAAAAAAGAAAACAGGAATTTTTGTGCCCACGTTATCACCTAGAGATGTAAAAAAACCCTTATAGAAACCTAATAAAAGCATACCACTTTACCAGTTTTCTGTTTGGAAAGGAAGAAACCAGTTTTATTTTCTTCTCCAAAATATGACATAGATACTAAACAATGCCCATATTTTCAGCAGAATCATATTTACTCCTTAATATATTTTTATATATTTACCAGTTTTCTGTTTGGAAAGGAAGAAACCAGTTTTATTTTACCAGTTTTCTGTTTGGAAAGGAAGAAACCAGTTATATTTTCTTCTCCAAAATATGACATAGATACTAAACAATGCCCATATTTTCAGCAGAATCATATTTACTCCTTAATATATTTTTATATATTTACTTTTCAGTTATATTTTCTTCTCTAAAATATGACATAGATACTAAACAATGCCGATATTTTCAGCAGAATCATATTTACTCCTTACTCAGTTTAGGAAGTGTTGAACAAAGCTACAAAGTATTAATTCCACAGAGTGGCAGGCATTTAAATCAAGAATTATGTGGGTCATGGTAATTAACACTGTTTCTGTTAGATGACCTTTACTCCACCAGATACCTTGCACAGTATACTTTTAGCCATAACAAGAGTGTGAATTAAACCACTCTGTGTACGGTTCAAAGCCCTGCTTTGCTGACAGACACAAATACTATTTCATCAAGGAAACATTCTTTTACAATATTGATTCTCAAAAGATGTCTCATATCTTCAAGGAAAAGAGATTTAGATTGAACCATCCTGCTAATGGAGAAATAAATTAAGATTTATAAATCAATCAACATGAATTAATCTTCATCTGAGAGGCAATTCTCAAAAAAAGAAATCGTTTTGGATTAGAAGTTAATCTCAGAGAAGAGACAGACATAGTCTGAAAGAATGGTCATCTTGGTCTAATACAGATTTTTAAATTAAATTTCTCATTGCCTCCATGGCCAAGCATACCTAAGCCAAGTAGAACACAGAGAATCTTTTCTTTCCCTCATGAATCTTGGACTAAATAACAATGTATTATATACCTGCTAGAAGCATTCACCTAATACAGAGCTAAAAATACATAGGAAAGCACAGTAACTGCTACTAAAAACCCAATAAATGTCATTGCTGTTGGCTCAGGCTGCAGTCTCAGGTAGCTCCATATTTTCCCCAAGAGTAAAGAGTAAAGGTGATTCAGTTGAACAGTTTATTACCTTGAATACTCCTTTTGAAAAAAGCTTTGCAGCCCTCACAAGACCAGACCCCATAATGGTAGCCTGAAGCATAGTCGTTGCAGACAGCACAGTACCGGGTCTCCTTGGTGGATTCCATGGACAGGCTCCCTTTCTCGTTGGTAGCGGGCACCCTCTCCCGCATGTTGTGGCGCCTGTTATCAGAGGTTGGCCTGTTAACAGCAAAAAACCAAGCATAATTCTTTCAGTGAGCTTAAGTCTCATCCACTCCTGCAGACTGTAAGAAGAGCAGATCTAGTTTTGAAACAGATGGACAAAAACCAATCTTTTATCACCCTTTGGCCTGTTCTAGCTGAAAAGATGTAGAACAAGTAAGGTACAGCGGAATTTCTCACAAATCAAGCTCATGTCATTAGATATTCTACTTTGAAAAATTAAAAAGCTATTTGATAAATTATCAATTTTCTCAAGATGTTAAAAAGGAAAAAAAAGAAAGGAAAGAAAAAATCAACATTTATTTGTGTACTTGCTCCTTTCCAAAGCATCTGGCATGACTGCAGTACCAGTAGGTAGTTTGAGAATCTGATGCAACAATCACTTAATGTTGCACCCGAATTTCCAAGTCACTTAAATTATTAACCAAGCTATTTTCAAGTGTTATTGCTTAATTAGAGATGCAAACTTTCCTTACATTTTCAAAGATATAATACTGCATTAAAAAGTCTCTATTCTCATTACAATATCACTTTAATTAAAATTAGTAAGTGGTTTTAGCGCAACAAGAAAAGCCAGAAGTTATTAAAAATTGTTCCTGAGGAATTTTTGTTCTAGTAATGTACATGTTATTAAACATACTAGAAATGCACATGATGGAGGTGTGCAGTATGCTGTTGAAAACCAAATGCATCTATAGGTAGATGGCAATGAACTCACATCTGCTGAATCTGGTAAGAGGTTATTATAAGCAGCTGCTCCAGGTGTGGTAAACAATATTCAAAAAGATGAGAGGATGTGAAATTACCAAGGGAACCACTCTGGGATTGCTCCTGGAAGGCTAACAGCTCTTGCAAAACATGTTTTCCAGTAAGAGTCCGCACTACAAATTGTCCAGGAGAAAAATACAATTGGGTGTGACAGCATCAGACAAGCTGAAGCATGAAGAATCCTACTGTTTACAGTAATTCACTTGCCATGCATGTTTTAATTGCTGTTTAGTAAACAGGTGGCTCTTATCTCCCCAGAATCCTAACATTTTCCCAAACACACATATCCTGGTTTTGAGACCAGGATACTAGGGGCTCTCTCAGATTTCTTCCTGCATACCTTGTTTTGCCTTATACCCTTCTTCAGCAAAACATCCTTTTTTGATGAACTGAAGCATCTGGCACCAACAGTACCTTCCTGCTTCAAACAAATACTCCCCAGCAGCTTTCTGATTATTCCATGTACACTTACCTATCCTCTTTCATCTAGCCAAAGTACCCTGACATTTCCTGCTGCAGTCCATTTCAATGCCCAAAAGCTTTCTACCAGCGAAAGCCACCTGAATGCTCTCACATCCCCTTGAGACTTTTTATATATGATATCTGTCCCCAGATACAATATATTTCAATGAATATCAGTTACTAGAGAAACTTGATACTTTCCTGTGTTAGACAAATTGCTACTGGCATCATTCAGGAAAACTGCATTTTTTAAGCCCAAACTTCACCAGGCCTTATATGCAGGCTAATTTTGAACAGTTATTTAAATAATTTTTGTTTTCCTGGGACTTGTGCAAGACAGAAGAAACCGCAAATGGTAAAATGCTGTCATGACGCAATTCTGGCTTTTTAGTGAGATGGAAAAATTGGAAAACACCACAGTTCTGACAATATGAGTTTAACAAACTAGGTAGAGAAAAAAATCCTTGCATATTTTAGATGTTAAAATGTGAAAAGTTGAAACAATATCGTTAATAAATCGTTATGACCACAACACATACATTGTTCATGTAACTGCCTTTTCCAGCCCACCAAACCTAGGAAGGCTTTTTTTTTTCTTCTCCAGGTCCTGAATCTTCCTTTGAATTTGCTTTATCCCAGTGCCCCATTTAATTGACTACTTTATTTTTTTTTACTGAGCATTGATCAAAGCTGTTGTTTCTTACCTTCTCCACCCCACTCTCCCCTGACTGCAGCTAGATCACCCTATCCACCCTCTCAGAACAACTTTAAGTTAACCATGAACAAGGATGTTTAAAATATTTGAAGTAAACCAGCAAGCCAGTAACTGCCAATATAATTTTAACAGCAGTAGACTACTCTGTTAGGTGTACATGGCCACCTGATAAATATTGATAGTTTTTTACTGCATTTTTCAAAACTGTTAAATGTATACAATGTCATACAAGATTAAAAAATTAACATTTTTAAAACTTCTAACTTTTACGTTTTCTTTTTATAAAACACTAAAAGGAAAAAATTCCAAGTTCCAAAACAGTTACATATTTTTGCAGGCATGAAGTAGAATTCCAACACCACACACATATACCATTCTATGGATAACTGTGTTTCTAGTTGGATACGAAAGAAAACAATTCAACAGGCAAAGGCAAAAAAAAGCAAAAGAGAGTAAAGAAATACCAAAAAGTATCAGTCACCATTTAGCCCAAATTGAATTTCATCTTTTCAGAATATCTAGCTTTACTCAGATCAAGACTAGGTTCACAAATACTTTGGTATTAAAATTATATTTAAAAATAATAAAAAATTAATAAAAAGTAGACTGAAACAGGAAAAAAGCACAGTATTTTTTCTGTCTAGAATAGATAAGAAATCTCATGAAAAATATGCCCTCCAAAGAAAATAAAATACATAAACACTAAGAAGTAAGATGCAGTAAAGAGAGAGATATTTGGCCACACTGCTTGCAGGGAGTCTGTCCCACAGTTTCTGTCCATCCTCACTCACACAGTGAGGCCACTTTTTCAGGGGAGGCTTCAGGCAGAGGCAATGAGACAGTATGTACACTGTAAGCACATACAGAATCCATGGTGCAAGGGATCACAGACAAAGGAGCAACACCACTGCTCAAACCTCCCCATAGTGCCCATGCATTTCATATTCAACTTAGATCTCTATTGCACGCAAACTTGTTGCATTAAAAGAGCACTATAAATCTTCCAGCAGACCTTCACAAAGCAAAATGAATCTAAAGATAGCTTTGCTGGCTTCCCACCCCCATAATCAGTGCCACTTGAGCAAGGTTTTGCAAACTGGCCTAGCAGAGTCACCGCATTCAGGCTTTTGTGAATCACAGCAGGAAGCGCACTAAAATACCCCTAACACTATCCTCCCCAGACACAACATCCTGCCACCCCTTTCCATTTATACAATGGAAATAAAATCTGGTAATAAATAAACTGTGGTATATATTAGAGTAGGTGAAGAGGAAATTTTGGGGGGAAAAGAGTATCCCAAAAACACAGAGCTTGCTAAATCAATAAAACATCTCAAGTTTCATCCAGAAATCAGCTGTTAGTTAGTACACATCACAGACCACCGATGCCGCGTCCTGACAAAAAATAGCAGTCTGCTCTTCATCCAGTTTTCAGTTAGGCTTCAAGGGTTAACCTTCTGGAGAACACAGTGCAACAACCTAACCCAACTTTAATAACTTTGGCAAGATCATCATTCCCAAAATACAATAGCAGAACCTCTTCAACAATTTCCATTGTAATCTATGCAAACAATAACAATGACAAAAAAAAAAAAAGGAGCAAAAGTTCTTGTCAACAATGTTTACCAAAGACAAACACAAATCAAAAAGAAAGAAAACCCCAAATAAATCCCTCCTTCCAAGTCCCGCACCAAAACAGAACAGATTAGAAAGCAAAAAAACCTCAGAATTTACTGCGCATTTCCAAATGTAATAACACAGCAGACATACAGTGAAAAGTATTTTGTAACCCACAGAGTGGGACAAACTTGTCTTCCACACTCACTTTCTTATTTTTCCACCTATGCTGTGCTGAGTTTGCTCTTCAATAAATGTGGTAGCAAACAAGCCACCACTGCTTTAAATATTCACTCATCACCTGCAGCTTTGAATCAGTCAAGAGATCATTAACCCCTTTTTGACTAAAATAAAAAGAATATCTACATAAGGGAATTACAGTTTTGTAATGTAACCTCAGTTTTTTACATCACAGTAATCTGAGTGGCAGGTGATATGAATATAGGATAACCCACAATACACAATCCATCCAGCAGTGAGGTAAGGCCCAGTTTATTCGCAACACCAAATTTTTATTGGAATCTATCTGAAATAAAGAGATTTCACAGGGAGGAGGGTTTAGGGAAATGTTATTTAAGCAGTTAAAGGAGGCACCTGGAAATATTCTAGTTTTCTGAATTTACTTTCATACAAGAAATCTTAACCTGCAGCTGCTAAATCTTTCTTACCAGAATGGACAGCAGTTCCCAGTATAAAAAGCCTCAAAACTAATGGCCATTTCAAAGGCAGAACGTTTTTCCACAGATTTGATTTATTATAACATCATTGATTATTCAATATGAAATTAATTAACCTGCTGCTAGAATCTGAATATCCATATGGGGAAAAACAGTTATGAAAGATTGTTTGAACAGAATTAAGTGCTCAGAAATACTTAAAAGACATCTCAAGAAGTACTGCAATAAGAATGACTAAATATATAAATAAACAGAAAATTCTGAAGTACATTAAGCACCTCAAAACTAGTATTCTCAGAAAACAGGTCTAACGAATCTGAAAAAAAAAGTCACACCATCAAAATGAAAATGTTGGCTTTAAACAAATATTCCAAAAAGCCTAAGGTTGTAATTAAGCGACGATGTAGAGAGAAACTTTTACAGGGAGTTGTATCTCAAATGGACAGAATCACAAGGTATCTTAAGATAGATGGAACATTGGTAGGAGGACCTATGCTGAGCCAGCATTGGCACAAGATGGACTTCAACAATGAAGGCGAGTTCAAGCAATGGGTCCAGAAACTGGCATCAGCCCTTGGCTAATCCACTATCAGTGTGAAGATCAGACAGGGCTCAAACTGAGACCTGATAGCAATTCCAAATCCATGTCTCTAAGCATGTTTCACTCACTGAGCTAAACTCTCTTCCTCTGCAAAACAGGATGGTTTCAACTATGCTAACAAGGGAGAAGGACCATTGCACAGGACCTGCCTGCTGGG